TATGTATGTATGTAGGTATGCATGTTTTGTGGTTTCAATGATTTGCTTCCTGACCTGGGCCTGGACCGTTTGGGGCCCCTGCCCCCCTCGGACCCTCCCGGCCCAAAGAGGGCCTGGCCGCAAGTCACTGAAAATGCTTGAAACTCGATCACTGACAGGTCCTTTGATTCATTCGATAGTCATGGAGAAAAGTTACTGACCTCTGAACATGTGCTATTTGGAATCACTAAATGGTCACTGGATCCTGCTTACAAAATCAGAATATGTGTGCTCCAAAGATGATAGTGTCTAGGGTCTAGGGCTTCCGTTTTGTGGTTCAGGGCTCTAGATTTTAGCGCTGCAGGGTTCTGGTTCTTAGGGCTTCAGTTCTAGGGCTTCAGGTTTTGGGGGTTTGAATTTTTACAGCAGTGGGTTTCTGGTGTGTGGTGATGTTTCAGGGTGCTGCGGTTTAGAGCTTTGGGGTTCTTGGGCTTTAGGGTCTGTGACTTTGGAGTTCTGGGGTTTATGGCCTTGGGTTTTTGTGTTTGAATTTCTTCGGCACGGGGTTCTATAAAGATTCTGATGTAGGGCTTCAGGGGTTTAGGGGTTGGCAGGGTTCTATGGCTTCTCCAATAGCCTTCCAAGCTTGCAGGGATCAGGTATGTTTCTTGTACAGATGGATGGCGGCGAACCTGTTTAAGCCTGGTCGTTTAAGCTCCACCCCTGAACACTGCACCCACAGCACAAGTTCGGGACGTGTAGCATTGTAGCGGTCAGGGTTTATGGGATCTAGGGCTGACGATTTTGGTTTTAGGGCACTTTAAGCTTTGCTTAGGGAACGCCGGGAACTTTCGACCCGAGGCCGCCGGCTGCGTTGACGACGAGTTGCTCGCCGCCGTTAACGAGGCGATCGTGTCGCAGGCGCAGGTTTAATCGAGCACTTAGGGTTTGGGGCTTGGGGCTTTTAGGGTTTATGTGGTTTTGGGGTCTGTGGCTATGCGAACCTCCACGAGCAACACGTGCCAGCATGATTCGTTGGAATGCCTACAGTAAGGGTTGCCTTGACGCAGGAACGCCTCTAGTTTTATGTTATCCGACAGTAGCTGCAACATTACCTTATGACACTGACGCTTCCGTAAACCTTTTTGTCAATCAAGACTTGCAGAGCCTTCGAAATTCTTGAAGTTGCAACCCTACGCCCGAAACCCTACACCAAGTTAAGGTTTAGGGGTAGGGATTAGCTATGTGTGGTTGCAGGAAGAAACTTCTGACAATTATCCCTCCCGAAACCCTGACCCCCGTTCCCTAAACCCTGCAAGCCCTGCCTGAACTCTATACATCTCTATATACAGCTGTGAGACCCGATTAGCCCCAACGCCTAAACACTAAGACCCTCTTACCGCAAGCACTAAAAGCAACACAGCAGACACTAAACTGCGGTGCGGAATGTCGCTGTTCAGATCTTCCGAAAAGAAAGCTTCGATTCTAGTAATACGGTAGTAGTGATGTTTTCTTGGTGCTACACAGGTTTTCTCTCGGGCTTCCTGACGACAGGGTTGAGGGTTGAAGGTCGTTTAAGTGTTCAAGATTTGAGGCTTGCAGCATCTCATCATCTTTTCAGGACGTCAGATATGTCCTAAATCAGAACTTGGGACTTCGTAGAGTCAAGGGGTTTGTTGTATGGTGTCCGCTTTTGGGGGTTTAAGAGGTTTAGGTTTGCGGTGTCTGCAGAATGGTATCTGCGAGGATGGCACAGGGATGTTCAGGAACCAGTCACCTACACATCCTTCTCAAACCTGCGAACACCAAGTCAAGAAACCACCAACGAAAGACAACACAGTTTCTGGTCTCGTGCTCCACAGCATCTCAAAGGTGGGGCAAACTGCCGGAAACTCAACTACCAAGCGTCGTTTGCCCGCGGAGGCCTTCAAATCTGCAGTCCAAGACTGCAAATTTTGCGTCACCATCGCGAACCCGAAAGGACCTCTCCGGAATTCCTTTTGCGGGGGGGGGGGGGGGGGGCGTTGAGGCTTCATGGCTTCGTGGCTCCGGCAAGGGTTGCGGGAGCGTGGCAGACTCAGATTCGCGAGGGACCTCAGGCTGCGGAGGCACGGGTTGTTTTAGCTCAACCTGGACACTGTGTTGGCAATTACGGAGAGACGCTTTGGGCCAAAAGTTTTTGGTTTCGGGTGTAGGATTCGGGACCTTGTCTTGGGAGTTACGGAGAGGTTTTGGATAGTTCTTTGTAGGTGGCGTGCTTAGTAAAGGTGCAGCTGCATGACGTTTGGGAACGAGGAACCTCCCAAGCCGAAGACCTGAATCAGAGGAAGCTTGCCATATGAGGTCCGCAAGCCGACACCCCGATGAGCCCTAGACCAAATGGTGTTTGGAGGTTTTCAGGGTTTGGGTGTTAAGCGGTTCAGGGATTAGGGCTTCGAATCCCGAGCTGTGTCTCAGTGTTTCCCATCTCAGTTCCACCGTTTTATCTACCAGGAGAGGACTATCCGCTCGTCGCCGTGTCCAAAGAGTTCGAGACTATGACTGGATACTTAAGGCCGGTGAGGGACCAACACACAGCCAACCTTGCAAGGCCCGAGTCTAAACCCCAAGCCGGTGGAGCAAGTTTTCTTGATCTGAGTCAGCAATAGCTACCGCTCCAGCCGGCGATTCCCTCAGAAATACGGAGCCTGAGCTTCAAATCGCTTGCGTACATGCCACAGCACCGTCCTACACCGGAACCAGGCTTGACCGGGAGTCTGTTCAGGGGAATGTGTTCACAGATGTCGTAGGCGTGGAAGATGGGCAGTACAGAGCAGGGTTGACAGGTTGAGGCCCAATGACATGCAACCGGCCATGAAAGTTGATGAGTTGATGCCGCAACCTAAACCCTAAAGTTGACTAATCTTCGAACCCTCAACTCTGAGGGATGTTGCTTTATGATGCGGCCAGGAGCGAAATCCTCGGCGTCAACTGCCGTTTCCTCAATCAGGCACATCCGAATGACCCTGCGGAGGGAATTGTTTCGTGCATATGCTAGCAGTGCCCACTTTCATGATTAGGATCCCAGGTTTTGATTGATGCTTCGTCATAGCCTTTGTTGAAAGAACCAACAGAATCAAGAGTCGGCCTTTCACAGTTCCGGAACCCCAGAGTCACTTCCGAATAGGTTGCACGTTAGATCATGCAGAAATCAAAGCCAGATACCTTAGACATCCTTTTAGAGGGATCGTTGAAAGGACATTGCAAGTCAGCTAGAAAAGCTAAGGAGTGTTGGGCTCCCGGCCCTATTAGGGTCTTCGATGTAAGAGAAAGCAGCCTGCTCAGGATGTCTAAACCAGTCTAAACTCCCATGCACCCGAGACATGTTTCGGGTTGAACTCCTAATGACCCCCAACTGCAGCGACAGGGGGTCGACATGGATCCGCACGACTTGATGAACCTGCGAATTGCAAGCCAGACAGGCTCTTGGAGTTCTAGCATTCTAGCATTTGCTTGGTCTTTCAAACATCGTGCTTGAACTTAAACCTTTATGAGGTGTTTACTGTGAATCCCTGTGTAATTCGAAAGCTTAGCCTGCACAAAGTCTAACCGTCTAACCCTAATTCCCTAGTGCATGCTGAGGAACTCTTGTGATAGTCTCAGTTATTACTGAAGCATACTACTCGGTTTAGGCATCGAGTTTGCTTCACGGTATTAGGGTTTACTGTGCAGGCTTCGGGGTTCAGGACTTTGAGGCTTGTATTCGGGATATATATATATATATTGTGTGTGTGTGTGTCTTCGCAGGTGTCTGCTGAGGAGAACTGGTCCAGGCAGTAGAGTCCCAGATTCTCATGTGTAAATCCCCTAAGCCCTCAAGCCGTAAATCCCAGACGTGTTTCACGAGATGTGGGGTTCGTGCGAAACCTCAAAAGCTCGGTTCATGTAAATTTAAGCTTTCGAAGCACCTTGATGTCGACCCCTGGTTAATGCACCAGCTTTTGTTCAAGGGATATAGTACAGGCGTCGCGGGATTTCGAGTGCAGGGCCCTGAAACGTTGTTGGGTTTGAGAAGGTGGCTAACCGTCCGTTCGTAGGGTCTGATGTTTCGGATCTAGGTTTTCTTTCTGGTGGATTTTTCGCGCAAGATGCTAAGCTTCTTGACCACGGGTTCCCTGAACGAAGACGACGTAAGATTTCTCTGATACCCTAACAACTCTAATGAAAGGATTGTTTACATCGGCCCCGACATTCATATCTTGTAACACCCCAACACACCCTAGAAAGACTTACACCAACCCTGAGCCATATGGACCATGCATGTCCTACACCAAAATCTGTATAATTCCCTCAGAGTAACCGTTATCGAAACCCTTACAGTAAGTACCCTAACACCCCCGTGAACCGAAGCTTCATTCTGATCTCGGCTCGAGAGCCTCGAGGATAGACTCGGGGCGCAACTAACAGGAGCCAATGAGGGCCTTGAGGCCGTAGGCCGTGGTTTAGGGTTAGGACAGGGGTTGTAGGGTTTTGCGGTCTTACGGTTTCCGGTTTAGAGAAGAGTTTGTGAGGGTTTAGAGTTTTGGGTTCTAGACAGGGGCACAGCGAGATTTCGGCAAGCTATTTTTGAGGGGCGGCCTTGGGGTTCGAGAACATCTGATAACAGCACGAACCGAGTACAGTCGTGGTCATGGGCATGAAATGGTCCGTTTGCATTCAGGCCAAGAGTAACAGCACAGCACCGGTAGCTCTATCGCTAATTCGCGAAACACTTACGCCCGAAAGCGTGTCTAGTTCTTAGACCAAGAAGGGCGCACGGCTTTCCGGAAGCAAGTTACGCGCCATGCGCAGCGCCATCGTTCCTCTGTCTGTTCTGTGGTGGCTCTACTGCTTGTGTGACTTTCCAGCCTTCACTGGGCCGGCCCCTCCTGCCAAAGTGGTACGAATTCCACGCTCTGCGAGCAAGAATCCGCTCAGATTGCCCAACGAGCCGAACCCTTTCGACTTGTTTGGCGTAAAACGCGGCACGGAGAAGGCGGAAATCAGGACGCTCCTTTATATTCGTTTTTCTTTTGGAGCTTCAACCCGAACTCTGCCTCAAATCCCAAAGCCACAATCTCATCGAGGCTTCTAGTCTAGGCCTCTTGTGAATGAAGACGAAAGCCCAACAAAAGCACGTGAACCAAAGGATCTCGCAGTTCAGGGGGTATGGAGTCCCTCCAACGCTGGTTTCTTATGGTAATGTGGTTTTATAGCCTTGCACCTTACCAAAAGTCCAGGAAACTCTTTCGCAAGCGGGTGCAGACTGAGCATCCCGACGTGAATCCTAATGACCCCGAAGCGGCAGAGAGATTTCAAGAGCTGGTGGGCGCTTACAACTCGATCATGGGCAGCTTGACAAGCAAAGGTTTGCATGGTTGGCTTGGTAGTGTAGGAACTCATGGAGGCTTCATTCTTCATGTATTCTCGTTGTGATGTGACTCCAGGTTGAACTGCCACTGTCTTCCCGAAATTAGACGTGTCACAGCTGTGTCTGCTGCACCTTGACAGATGTGGCTCCAGGGTTTTGTGGCTGAGATGCGTGTCCACGCCCAAAGCTCCAGCTCTAGGACTCTAGGACCTGGGGTAAACCAGCGGGATCGTTATGGGTGCTACTGTCAGTGTTGGGGACAGTGAGGATCCTATCCGGGCATTTTCAGGGTCCATATCAAGGATTATCAAGGGACCATATTACAATGTCATGTTCTTTTCAGTCTACTACTTTGTAAGGGTCCGTGTTGAGGGACAGTTTTTGGGCCTGAAAGTACGTACTAGTAACATTGACATGCTCGCGGCTGGGCGATTGTTGAAGCAACCTGGACACTTCTTCCCGAAGTGTGAGTGTCCTTTTGGTTCCAGGTTTTCCTGCGTTTAGACTGATGGCCGAGGACAAAGCCCATGAAGAAAGCAGAACCACCAAAACCCCATATATAGATCTGAAAATCGCCCCCTTCACGACATCTGATCCACTGCCCCCCTTCGCCCCGAGGTGATGAGCTTCTGCCTGACGAGCTGAATTTCGTGCGAGTGCAGATGACCAAACGATACAAGAAGGAGCTAGAGGCCGATCAGTCTGTCACTTGGATATACTCACAGAGTTTATGGGAGGGAATTGTGATAAAGGTGTCAATGCTGTCAATGAGCATCACTAACAGAAGCAGTAGTTCTAGCAATGGCAAGAGTTGCAATAGCCCTTGCACGAATGATCTCCACGGTAAATATACCCTAGCACAGGAATAAACCAGAAGCGGAACGGTTCCGGGTGGGAACCCAGCCGTGGTTCTTGGGAAATTGCAGCACAGGGTAGCCACGCCCCGACAAGCTAAGCAACATCTCATCTCACGTAACCTGCAAATGAATGCAATGGTGAAGAGTTTCATGCTGCGGTGCACCACTGGACCACAACAATAATTCAGTTACTTGAATTGTTCTCCGCACTATGAGTCCATTAAAATCACTCAGAGTGACTACATGAGCAAGCACCCAAACATATGCATATTCTTGTGTTCGTACTGCAAACCGCCCCAACTGCGTCTTGGGATTCTTACATATAGCCGCATCACCGCAGAAGAGTGTGCCGTCTATGAATATCGCCTAAGGCAGAGGAATAAACTACCCATGTGACGACTAGTGACTAAGACCTCAGCCATCTTTATGAGGAAGAAAGCTATATCTATGGTTCGGTGCGGTTCTGTCAATGTGCACGCCAGGCCCAGCAAAGGCTGCACATGTACAGTGTCAGAAATCAAGTAGTTGTCTGCCTGTCACTGAGACGCGAAAACAAGCGACTTTCTCAAGCTCTTGTAAATCTGTGACAAGTTCATAGAGGTTTATCCGCGCGAGATGTTGTTTAATTTCTCTTGTTCTGCCGTAAGATCAAGACTTCTCAAGGCTTATTCGCGGTGTTCACAAGTAAGTTGACCAACTCGGCTATGCCGCTTACATATGACCAATCACAGAGTTGATCAGTGCAATAGGTTCCTCTGTCGATATTCATAGTTTTTTCCATCAGCCGCTTTGTATAAATTTCAGAGATCCAGAGCCGATCTTGAAACTAAATACTCTGCACCCAAAGGTTTGAGGTTTCAGGAATCAGAGCCGAAGAACCCGAGCCGTGATGCTCAGGTCAACAACGGAATCTTCTATGCACTGCTTCCTGGGATGACAATAACAGTCATCGGCATATGGTTTTTTGCGATGGATGCACTGGGGATGCTTGACCCTCAGACAAAGCAGCTCCTGGACGCAGTGAAGGGCAAAGGCATTTAGAATTACTGTCGAGTCAAGATGCTACACCTGGACTATGGAAAACCAAGGCCCTGAAACCCTAAAACTGGCATACACCTGGACCCTGAACCCTTATTGAGCTTAATCCTCGAAGCTCCACACCCGGGACGCCCAGCCCAAAAAGACGGAGAAGCAGACAGAGGCAGAGTCAGTAAGTCTCAAGTCCGCAAGGCTAAAGCCCCAGAGCCCTGAACCAGGACAGATTCGGGTTCGATTTTCAGGTAGGCCACGTGAACGGGGTTTAAGAGGCTCAGCGTCAGAGATACCTCATGGTTTCGGTTTTTAGGGTTTTTGTGGCTTTAGGGCTTTGGGGCTTTGGGGGTTTTGGGGTTTAAGGTTTGGATGTATGGTTCAGGGTTTAGGGTTTCAGAGGGGCTCCCGAGTCCCCATAAGCTAGGGGCCTTAATAATTACCTAAACTCTTTTGGGGGCTCCTTATTGAAATGATAGTATCCTTTACCCGCAAACCCCGTTCTAAGTTCTAACTATTAAGGCCCTCGATTATGCTGAGGAAGAGATTCTGGATTGAATCCTTGGGCTCCTAGAAAATCATACGCCCCCGAACCCTATAAACTCTGTAGACCCCCTCTCCTAATCCCCTGAACCCTAACCAAAACTCCCTAAACCCCCTAAATTCCTAAAACCCGTTACTCCGAACACCCCTAATCCCCTGAACCCCAATAGTCGGGTTGCAGTGTCCTGGCTCCAAACCGTTGACTGCTTGCTGTGATGCTTTTCCTGACCAAGACATCGCCAAAGGAGAACACAGGGTTTAACGTTTAGAGTTTACCGCTTACGGTTTAGGGCCTATAGGGGTTTGGGGGTCAGGGCGAGCCCCGAGCATCCAGGAGGGTTTGCGAGATTTGATTAGGCTCAGACGCTGTGGGGGCTTCCATGCTATAGTTCCCAAGAGACACCCCAAAGCAGGAAGGGTTATCAGAGGGAAGCGCCAATCTTTCACGGATAGAGTCCACAGATCACTTATCCTTAAACAGCATGGTCCCAACATGAGGACTTTGCTGGAAAGCGGTCCAAGGACGAGGAAGCGAAGACCCTGCACTTTAAAAGTGTACCTGTCAGACTTGCCCCTTAACTTCGAAGCAGCCTGGCCACAAATCATTAGTCCAACGACCAGGTTTAGGACGATTTGCAGTTCACGGGGCAGGCGCAGATAAGGCTCAGTAGCTCAGCAGCTGACAGGTTGGAATTTTGAGCAAGAAGAAATTCCACTGTAACGAGGTTTGTATGTTCGCGGACCAGGGAACCATCAAGCACTCTCCCAAGCCTTCTGTCGGAGGCTACCCGAAGCCGAAAACTCCATCTCAACCCCTCGCAACCCCACCTGTCGAAGGACATACAGCGAAGTCTTTAAGGAATCAGGTGCATTCTAATGCCGATTTTCCCCCTGCCTTCGGGCCTTCGGGAGGCGCGCCCTTCACTGCCGTCATACCGAACCGCAAGAAGTCCGGGGAGCTCTTTCTGAACCTGTTGGAGAGCTCAGATGGGTGAGTTTTGGGATAAGTTCTCGGTTTTCTTTTCTAGACGTCTTGTTGTTAGAACGCAATGTGTTTTATGTGTGTGTTTGCAATAAAGGGTTTTAAGGGGCTAAATGAAGTATCCTTGCAAGGTTACAAGTTCCAAGGTTTAGAGGCATGGGGCTTGCGGTTTGGGGTGTAATGTTTAGGGTGGATGTAAGTGCTCTGGTCTGTCAAGTGTTCTTATCGGGTTTTGAGCACATGGACATGAAGAAGTTGAACTGTGACACTGTGCGTCGGATTGCACAGACTGTCTGCGTCTCGGTCTGAGCTTCGTGTTTGGCATTCTTGCCTAAGGGTTTTGCCAGGAATCGTATGGGATGCCCGAAACCCTGAGTCGTAGACACCCAGCAGAACTTTCCCGCTACTAGCTTTAAATGGTCTACTGCAGGATTGAAAGTGTAAACCCTAACCGCAACCCTACACCCAAATCTACTTGTTCAGGCTTCGATCTTAACCGTCGTGTCTACACAGAGAGTCTAGTGTTCATACAGTTTAATATACGGAAAAAGGGGCGGAAGACTCAACCACAGTAATGGTTACTATTCTTTAGGGTTCCTTATTGTCGTACCCCTTCACCGCGAAAACCGTATTCGAAGGGTGTTTAGCCCGAAGGCCGTCTCTATTAGACAAGACCTGAGCCTCAGACCCTTCCAACTTGAGCTTTCAGGGCTTAGGGGTTTGGGGTTTAGGGGATTATAGGATCCTAACCAAGCCCCAGACCCGAACAGTAGAGTTCAGGACTTACGATCTCTGGCTTCCAGGGTTGGGGATATTAGAGGTTTAGGCTTGGCAGTTTTGGGGTGCTAGCACTTTAGCTTCAGCCTGTGGTGCTTGAAAGTTGTAGGCTTTTGTGTGTTTAGGGTTTGTAGCTTGGCGTTTTAGCAATTTAGGTTCAGATCTGGACCCAACAGCACATCAGGACGCTTGTCGGAAGCAGCCCTAGATGAGGTTCCCCTAGCTTTGAGAAGCTATGGTAAACAACCTGCACCTCTAACGCCGCACCCTCAAATCCTCCAATCCCTTATCATTATCTGAATCTGGAGACAGGTTGGACGTGCGGGGCCTGACGGTGGCACGAGAGACTAGGAGCCACATAGGTTCGGTTCTTGCCAGCTTCACATGTAGGTTTAGGGTTTGCGTTTCGGGGTCTTGGGTTTCGGGCTTAGCCAGCGTTTAACATCCGTCTGGTCCCGCGTGCTGTTTGCGATGGTGACAGTTAGGATTCGAATATGGCCTCAGGATTGCTTTTATCTGTCGGGCTCAAGTCGAGCGATTATCCCCGAATCCCAAAGCCAAGAAACCCAGAGTCATTCCCCCCCCCCCGGATTGTGCAGTTGCCGCAAGGTGGTCAGTACGAAGACATCCGAACAGTCCGAACCTGCACAAGTCCACGAGCTACTGTAGCGCGTCTGTCTCTTACAGCTTGAGAACAATTCCGGGAAACATGCCCTCAACACTGAATCAACTTTGAAGCTTCAAACCCCAAACTTTGCCCCAGAGCCCTTCATCCCAAAAGCCTCTTCCCACATCACAAACTTTAAGCCCTCGTAGGTGATCCCAAGCCTCGAATGCAAAAACCGCAAACCCCAAGTTGTCCATGCAGGACGGGCGAGGACCTTTGGTATTTGATTGGCATCCAGGTAGGAAGCCTAAAGGTTTAGAGAACATCTTATCGCTTTCGGGTTTGAGGGTCTGGCTAGACTGTTAGACTTAGGAAGGGTTTAGGGCTGCATGATTTTTGGGTCTGGGTTCCAGAATTTTGCGGCTTAGAGCGGCTTGCTTGCAGGCTCTTGGAGTGTTGAGGCCTGAAGTAGTTGGGGTGACTTGCGGGTTTCGGGTGCAGCTTTACTTCGGAGAAGGAGCTTGTCACAGCTTGTCGCTTTCCTCACACTTCTGGGAACTGCTGGTGCGTGAAATTGCGCTGCGAGAAATGAATCTGTCTCCAGACTACATGCAGTCTCGTCTCCAAATCCATTCGTCCCCATATAGTCCCCATATCAGTATACTAAATCCCAATCATGGAGGTCCTTACATTCATCCTCCACGCTGCACGAAAAGATTCCTTGAAGGAGCCCCTATGCTACCCTTCGAGGAACCCTGTTCTACTTCTTACTGTAGAAGCCTAGAAGATTACCAATATTATTCCTTAGGGTCC